CTCATACTCGTGCTCATAGACAGAACGACACACGTGTCGTTTAACAGCACCTGTGCCATTATGTTTATTTCTCTATTATTTTGCTCATTTTCATAGAAACAACATCAAGCATTGGACTCGTTAACTTAAGAAAGTAGAAAATGTTAGTTATATGACAAATATCAATAGAATTGACATAGATTGTACGACATCAAGTTGGAGGAATCATAAGACATTATCTATATTTGTTAGAAAATATAATTAATGAGCATCTTTCAAATTTTATAAATGTCATGCTTATCTTGCAACTTAAACGAGTTCAACTTATTGATTATTAAGGCTCGGATAAGTAATGGGCACTCATACTCGTATTTATAGACAGAACGACACACGTATTGTTTAACGACACTTTTGTCGTTATGTTGATTTCTCCAGTATTTTGCTTCATTTTCACCGTAACGACCTCAAATGTTGGACTCCCTAACTTAAGAAAGTTGGAGATGTTAGTTATGTGACAAATATTAGTAGAATTGACATAAATGATATGATATCAAGTTGAAAAAATCATAAGGCATTATCTATATTCTTTAGAAAATATGAGCATATCTCTCAAATTTTGTAAACGTCATGTCCATCTTGCAATTTAAATAAGTTTAACTTATTGATCATTGAAGCTCGAACGGGTCGTGGGTGCTCATACTCGTGTTTATAAACAGAACGGCACACGTGTTGTTTAACGGCACTTTTGTCGTTATATTGATTTCTCCAATATTTTCTTTGTTTTCACCATAACGACCTCAAGTATTGGATTCTCTAACTTAAGAAATTCAAAAATGTTAGTTATGTGACAAATATAGGTAGAATTGACATAGATTGTATGATAACGAGTTGGAAAAATTACAAGACATTATTTATATTCGTTAGAAAATATAATTAATGAGCATTTCTCAAAATTTGTGAACTTCATGTTCATCTTGTAACTTAAATGAATTCAATTTATCGATTATCGAGGTTTGGATGGGTCGTGGGTGCTCATACTCATGTTTATAGACTAAACGGCACACGTGTCGTTATGTTGATTTCTCCAATATTTTACTTTGTTTTCACCATAACGACCTCAAGCATTGGATTCCCTAACTTAAGTCAGTTGAAAATGTTAGTTATGTGACAAATATCAATGGAATTGACATAAATTGTATGATATTGAGTTGAAAAAATCACAAGGCATTATCTACATTTGTTAGAAAATATAATTAATGAGCATCTCTCAAATTTTGTGAATGTCATGTTCATCTTATAACTTAAATGAGTTCAATTTATATATTATTGAGGCTCAGATGGGTTGTGGGTGCTCATACTCATGTTTATAAACTAAACGGCACACGTGTCGTTTAACGACGCTTGTGCCATTATGATAATTTTTTCAATATTTTACTTCTTTTTTACCATAACGACATCAAGCATTAGAATCCCTAACTTAAGAAAGTCGGAATGTTGATTATGTGACAAATAACGATAGACTTGACAGAAATTATATGATATCGAGTTGGTAAAATCAGAAGTCATTATCTACATTTGTCAGAAAATTAATTAATGTGCAACCTTTCAAATTTTGTAAACGGCATATCTATCTTGTAACTTAAATGAGTTCAGCTTATCGATTATTAGGATTCAGATGGGCCGTGGCTGCTTATACTCTTGTTTATAGATAGAATGGCACAAGTGACATTTAACGGCACTTGTGCCGTCATGATGATTTGTCCAATTTTTGCTTCTTTTCCTCCGCAACAATCTCAACAATTGGACACCCTAATTTAAGAAAGTCGAAAAAGTTAGATATGTAACAAATATTGGTAGAATTGATATAGATTATATGATATCGAGTTAGTGATATCACAAGTCATGATCTACATTTGTTAATAATCAGCATATCTTTCAAATTTTATAAATGACATGTCCATCTTGCCATATAAATGATTTCACTTATCGATTATTGAGATTCGAACGGGTCATGCTTGCTTATACTTTTGTTTATAGAGAGAACGACACAAGTGTCGTCTAATGGCACTTATGTCATTCTGTTGATTTCTCCGATAATTTGCTTCATTTTCACCGCAACGACCAGGTGTATTGGATCCCCTAACTTCTCTTATCCTATTACCATGAATGAGTTTATATATCGTTAAAACGTCACTTGTGCAGCCAAAATGAGTACATCTCTCAACTTTTAAAAACAACATGTTCATTTTGCAGCTGAAATGAGTACAACTCATTAGTTCTCGGGGCATGGATGAGTCGTAGTTATGTATACTCGTGTTTATAGACAGAACGACGCAAGTGTTGTTTAACAGCTCTTGTACCGTTTTGTTGATTTTTTAAATATTTTGCTTCTTTTCCAACTCAACGACCTCAAACATTGAATCCTCTAACTTAAGAAAGTCAAAAAGGTGGATCACGTGATAAAAGAGCAATTGAATTGATATAAATTATATAATATCGAGTTGATAAAATCACAAGTCAATGTATTGATATATTAGAAATATAATTAATGAGCACATTTATTAACTTTTGTAAATGACATGTTCATCTTGCAATCGAAAGGAATGTAACTTATTGGTTTTCGAGATCTAGATGGGTTGTGGCTGCTTATACTCATATTTATAGATAGAACTACAAGTGATGTTTTCTTCATAGGTACACACAAGTGACGTTCTCATGGATAAGCTGTATTTCGATAACGACACTTGTGTCCTTCTTTTAGAATTTTTCATTTCAATAAGGCAAAAGTACCGCTCTTAATGACATTTTCATCCTCTAAACAGCACTGTTGCCATTCTCTTAGAATTTTCCATCTCAATAACAGCGTAAGTGTCGTTCTAAATTACCTTTCATCTTCAAGCATTAAAACCCTAAAGTATGTAAGAAAAGTAGATCACGTGACAAAAAACGATTGAAATGACATAGATTATTTGATATAAAGTTGATGAAAACACAAGTGATTCTATTATTCTCAATAAAATACACGTATTGAGCATATTTCTCATTTTTTTTTTTATTTCTTGTCAACCTTACAACTTAAATGAGTTCAACTTATTATTTCTCAATGCATGGAAGAGTTGTAGCTGCTTAAACTTGTGTTCATAGATAGAATGACACAAGTGTTGTTTTATAATCAGTAACGACACTTGAGCTGCTCTGTTGATTTTTCCTTTATTTTCATTTGTTTCCAATACAACGACATTTAGAATTGAACATTCTAAGTTGTACTGTTTTCATTTGACTTAAAAGATATTAACAAAAATGTAGAAAAAAATCAATAGAGCACCACAAATGTCGTTATTAATATGAAAACGACCATTGTGCCATTATGGGAGTTGCTTGAGTCCCCACTTTTTCTTTTTCTTTTTTTTTTTTAAAAAAAAGAGTTTCGTAATAGTTTTATGATGGAAAATATGTGGCTAAAAAATAAAAAAAAATTTAAATTTGCGTGTAATATTATTTTATTGAATAACGTGTGGTTAAAATTAGAGCAAATTACTGTTCAAGAATGCATTTTGATGAAAAATGAGGCTAAAACAAGGGCTATATGTGTAAACACGAGTAAAAAAGCTACGTCTTATCTATGCATTGAGAACCAATAGTGGAACTAATTTACGTTATTTATGATATTGTCAAACTTTCTATGTTACATATGTTAGGGAGTCCATTATTAAATATTGTTTTGTTGAAAAAATTAGATATAGGTGAATTTCTGAATGACACAAGTGTCATTGCTGAACATGAAAACGACATATGTACTGTTACGTGTATAAATACGAGTATAAACAATCACGGTCCACTCGTTCCCTAAAAAATAATGAGCAAAACTTATTTATATTGTAGTATGTGCATGACACTTACAAAAGTTTATAGATATGTCCAGTAACTTAATCGACATATATAATTGTGATGACTTATATTTTTTCCAACTCAATAATATATGATTTATGTCATTTCAATCGTTCTTTGTGACTAATGAATCTTTTGTGATATATACGTTAGTGAGTCTATTATTAGAGTCAAATTATAGCAAATAACGATTATAGTGTCGTTTTATTTTACAGATAACGGTTGGAGTAGTGTTCTATATTTCAGATAGCAGTTGGAGTATTATTAACTCCAATGGTTGCAGATAACACAAAAAGCACACTAAATAGAAAAACAATATCAACTAAATATTATTTAATACTACATTTAATAATAAAAATACAACATAGATGTGATTTGTAAGAGTATCTTTCTTCTTTCTTCAAATGTAAATGATATGATAACCAAACTCTTGTTCAAATACTCAAAAAATATCCAAAATAAGCAAAGCATATAAAAAAAAAACATAATTTTACGAGAGCCAGAATGGTGATTGAAGAAAAGAAATAGGTTATTGTAATTTTGAGGACTTAAAATTGAAGAAGATGTTATCTTTAAAAAAAAAAAAAAAAAAACTTAGGAATGTGGAGGAGAAATGACGGGATGAAGTGAAAAATTGGAAGATATTAAATTTACCACTAAAGTAGAATTTTCACATTTTGCCAAGTAATTACATTTTTCTATTTATTTTAATTATTAATCAAATGCCATTTAACCAAATACATTATCTAATCAAGCTAATGGGCCAAACCCCCCCGGGCTAAAATGGAGGAATTAGTGGCTGTTGGCCGGTTGACCCGGCCAATTTTCCAAACTGGCCTTTGACCAATGAAAAAAAAAAGAAGGCAAAATTATAAAAAACAGTGAAAACCAAAAAAAATGAAGAGAATCCCAATTTTACCCTCACTTGAAAACGAAGCAGAGCCGAAGGAGACGGGAAAATACTGTAGCACAGTCGACCCAGTCACCGACAAATAAGGAAAAACAGGAGACCCACTTGGCCAAAATCCCTCTGAAGAAGGTAAGAAATTTATACAAAAAAAAACCATGTTTATATTTTTATTTTTGGAAAAAAGTATGATTTTATACATATTTCTTGAGAAATCCTTGTGTAAATGTGGAATTTTGGGTTGTTATTACTTGGGAAGGAGTGGAGATCGCCGGAAATGGAGTTTTCCGACGATCTCCTCGACCGGAATGTGGCAGACGGACGAAAATGGCGACTGGGCACGCCGTCTGGGCGCCCTTTCCCAGTCAACTGGGTTGCCCAGTTGACTGGGCGCCTCTGCCCAACTGGGGCGCCCAGTCAACTGGGAAGCTGGGCCGGTCGGCCCAGTTGACCCAGTTGACTGGGCCGTCTTTTTTTTTCTTTTTTTTTCGGTAATTATTGAAGTTAATTAAATAATTATTAATGACTTATTGTGTTATCTAATATGTAATTATTTATTTGAGTTGCTTAATTTGAATGTTTATTATGTATTTAAAATTATTAGTAAATATAAGATGTAAATGTTATATTATTTATCGAAATATTTATTAGTTGCTAATTTAGATTAATTAATTATTTTATATTAAGTAATAGTAAAAAAATTAAAAGAAATAATATAATATTAAATAATGAATATATCTAAAGAATTGAAAAAAATATTTAAACATTTGTAAAATAATAAAAATAAGCAATTAAATTTGAAAAGTAAATTAGCAAAAAAATTTATTTTTTGAAAAGCAATTAAAATAAATTTGTAAATATGAAATAAGCATTATGCGTAAAGAATTAAAATTAGTATTTAAACATTCATTAAAATTAAAAAACTAAATTAAGTGTTAGAAAAATAATTAAAATATTAAAATAAGCATTTAAAAACAAGTGTTACTAAATTAATTTTAAAAAATGAAATATTAAATAAGATATATATA